GGAAAGAGGGGGAGAGAGATAGAGGGAAAGTAAAAGCTCCCGAGGAATCAGCGTGCTTCGCTATCGCGTGCTATTTGGAAAGCTGCACCGACGCGTTCGCGAGTCCCGAATCATAGCGATTCTCGTGTCCGCCAGTGTTATCTGGTGATAAAAATAAATTGCTCTTCGTAGATGTTAATTATGAGCCTCCGTTTCTAATTAAGAGTTCGTTAAGCCAGAGGTAATTAAAATTGATAAACCTCTATCGCGACGACTCTGCTAATTAATTTCACCTCCAATCCTTTCTCTTTCCGCGTCTTCCACCTTTCCCCCGCCCCCTCCGCCCTCCCCCGCTTTTGGCTTGCATTTCCCAACCCCGTTTCGCCATCTCGCCCCGCGTCAAAGGAGACACCGGGCGGAGTGATAATTAAAAGGAAGAGGAGGAAAAGGAAAACAGAACGGAGACGCGATTTGGAGACCTTCAGGGGCGTACAAAGAGCGGACGAAAAAAGGAGAAGCGTCGATAACGATTTATCGGGCGCCGCGTTGCTTCTATTGACGATAAAGCCACGTTACGTATTTAATCACGCCCAAGAATCAAGAGCATTATCTCTACGTGAGGCGAGACATGTCCGATTACCTGTTCTCGCCAAGGCTGTCAACAAACCAATCAATGCGTGTAGGATATCGGGTAAAGCACACCTCTTTCGCGTTCTTGCGTGAAGATACCGCGCGATACGGAAAAGGGGGGAAAAAATGTCGACCGATTATTACGGCAGCGGCCCGTTAATTATGTTACAGCGGAAAGCAATCCTTCGTTATCTTCCCGAGACAGAGAAACGAAGAATCTTGCCTGCTCCGGGGAGAAAGGAGAAAAGAGAAAATATCGTTATTGGCGGAAGCCAATTCGGAAAACTCGTACGCGACGGATTAAGAACTTTGGGAATGTCGCGGGTATCGGGAAAACGAGTCTTATTTTCGTACATTCCCGACTGACGCAAATGATAAAAACGTGACGTTTGTATACAATAATAGAGCCGGTATCCGGATAGCGATATTTGCGTCGATTCGCCCGCCCGTTTCCTCGGAATTGCTCGTTTCAGCAAGGTAGGACGACGTAGGTAGATAGCACGGAATATACGCGTACATACTTTTTGTTCCCGCGATTCGGTCTGCGAGAGGATCTCGGGACGAAAAAAGCACGGGGAATCCAATTTCTATTTCTGCCATTTTTCACGCTATCGTTCTCAGGAATTCGCGAATCGCGGCCCGATATTACACCGGAAATGTCTCCTCGAAACGAAAGCACGCTGCGTGAATCGGAGCTCCGTACATTTTCAAACAATGGATAGACGTTTTTGAGATAGCGCGGCCGGGCCGTGAATAGAGGCGAATAACACGCGAGCACGCGATCCGCGCGAATTAATTCGCTCGCTACTCCTCCTACGCGGCGAGAGTCATTGTTTTCATTTTTCCCGAAACTCGCCGGCCAAAATAATTCCGAGCGCCGCGTAATCAGTGTAATTAGGAGGGGATAAATTATTCGCCGGGCTTTCAGCGATTTTTCCAGCGAATCGTGCATGCCCCGATTCGAACGGCGGCCGCGGTCGATCCGTGAAATCGAAACGAAATCGTTAGGTCGAGCACGAATCACGGGGTATTTTCGATCGCGACGACCACCGGGGGGCGGCCACTTCGAAAATCGTGCGCGAAGGAACGGGCATTAATCTCAATTAAAAGCCCCCGAGAGCAGGCCGAACGGAATTTTTCCCGTAATTCTATTTCCCGTTTCAATGGAATCTAAATTCGATAATCTGATTCGGCGAAATTGCGCTGGATTTGCATTGGAAAATTTCCTCGCGAGCCCCACCAACTCGCTCGTTGCTACCTGACGCCCGCGGATCAACGTTTCGAGGGTAATACCAAGATGTCCGTGATATATAACGACCGTGGGTCACGGAGGGCAGAGACTCCGCGATCGCTCGCGTAAAAATGACATCCGATTATCAGCGTCACGTAGCAGCGCGATTCCCTTAAGTAATGAGCGTCGCGGTCACGTGATCGCCAGCATCGCCGTTTCAATTATCTGCCTCGGACTACCAGCCAGAGGAAGAGAGAGGAGAGGTATATACCGAGAGAGAGAGAGAGAGGGAGAGGGAGAGAGACGTGGGAGGGAGAAAAATGGAAGAAATATTCAATATCGCGGCAACGAGCACATTCCGCTCGATTGAAAGATTTCCGTAATTAGTATAAGAGCGATCGCACTTGGATCGTCGTCGATGTTTACGCTCCGCGGAACAGAAACGCGTCTCTGAGCGGTGGAAAGCGCGCAGAGCGTGCAAGGTGTGCGGTGCGCAGTGCGGCTATAATTTAAGAAGAATTCGCGTAATTTCGTCCGACGGTGAACGCGGTTGTTGGGTGAGTTAACGAGTCGTTTAAAATTCCACGGAATCTCGGTTTTTCGCTGCCGGAACCGACGACTTCCACGCGGACATACTTTTTTTCCCGACTCTCAGCCGCCCTCGTCGCGACGCGGCGCGTAATCGTCGTTGGCCGCGATCTAGAGACAGTGACGCACGATTTTCCGCGGTTCGAATAAATAATCGTTTTCGAGAAATCCTCGCGTTTCCCCCCGATCGATCGATTACCGAGCGGATTACCGATGCTCGCGCGATAAATCGACGAGGGAAAATAATTTGTTCAGCACCGAGAGGCCATCCCCTGGCGAAGTGGAAGACGAACCGTGTCGCGACCCGCGTTTCACTGGACGATCGAGGGAAAAGTCGGTTCGACGAAGGAAACGCGCTAACGAACTATATTGTCGGCGAAATAAATCGAAAATAGAAACGTAACGTCGACGGATGTTCCGTAGTCGCGAAGCGTACACCGCTCTCGCCTTTCACAGCTAGGAAACTTGTTTGTCTTATTCACTGGCATCGATCCGCCCGGATAGATTATGGCGACTGGGATGAAAATAGGAGAATCGCATTTTAGAACCGAACTTTCCTCTCTGGTTTTCCTTCCGCGAGGACACCGCGATCGCACCCCCTCGCCCGTGAACGTCCGCAGCTGCTCCAGCCAGATATATATTAGCGTTCGATGGCAATAAAGCCGTCTCGTCGTCGCAACGATCCGATTGCATCGGTAAATCAATTATGCGCCGAATTTCTGTCCCCCGCGTCATATGGCCTTCCACGTTTTCCGCTCTTTCCTTCCCTGCGACCGCGAGATCAACGAACTCGTTTCCGTTTCTTTCGATCAGTGGCCCGATTTTAAAGGGGTCAGTACCATCGTGCTCCCAGATGTAATCACTTCGACACAAATACCCGGACCGTCCCCTTTGTAATTCCCCTTATCGCGAGCTGGTAATTACTATTGCCACCCGGCCAGCCCTTTGACCATTCGGTAAATATTTTCGAGCCGCCGTCGTAAAGAACTTCGCACCGATACGGGAAGAAGAGGGTGGACGATGCCTCCGGCTCGCTGCATCTCCGGCAAATTAGCCAAAGAGATTTCCTCCAGGATACGATATCCGTGAGTCGCGTCGCGTCCGTTCGGAAAATGAGAACCTATAATAAAAATAGGAAAACGAAACGGAGGACGAGATAGAGATAGGGATAGAGATAGAGAGGGGGCGAGCGATGTGGAAAAAGACCCGAGGGAAAAAGAAACGAAACGAATCGTAATCTCGATGACGAAACAGGTGGAATGTGAAATCGAGTTATCGAGATAGATAATCGGGAGTAATATCGCGAAGGGAAGTTAATAAGTTAATTGAATCAAATAACCAGGCAGTTACCTACTCGGAGAATGTTATAGAATAGTTTAATTCAGCGAACCCGTTACACAGGTTCGGCCAATAATACTCTCGACTGATATAAAGGCAACTTCGTAACCGTTATGAACTTGCAGAAATTTCTACAGCATGGAGGAGAGAGAGGCAAACGCAACGTCGCTGGAGTTGAGGCAGGCAAAAGTTGACGTCGCCTCGTCTTCGGGCTATTCGAACGGTTCCATGAATTTCCCGTCTTCCGACAGCAAACCAAGCGTGTACACCCTGTTCATTGCCGGAGTCGACTTCCTCAACCATGTACTCATCCTTCTTCTCACGGTGTTCACCCTGTACTTCGCCCTGCAGACCGTCAGCTCGTATCGTTTACACGTGGCCCTCTGCACCCTCGGGGTACGTATCTTGCGTCAGAGCGTCGAGACGTTCCCCAAATTTCTCACCCACCCCTGGTCCATCGATTCGACCGCGTCCTCCAGTCGATCCGAGTCCACTCTCCCACCCTCGCAGGCTACGCAATCGAACCGAGGAGAAATCCGAACGAACGGACGCTTCCTCTCGGTTTAATCGCCGAGAGAAAGGCGAAAGCTCGTTTAGCCGCCGTCGCGGGGCAGAGAAAAGGGAAGGCAGAGTGGAAGAAGTTGCCGCGTAACCTTGCCCAAGATTCAAATTGCACCGTTTATTTCCCACTTACACATCTTCGCGGCCACGGTAACAGGGAAATCGAAACTACGAGACCGAGCTATTCCTATTCCAGCTCTCTGCCTCTCCCTCTGCTCCGCGACGAGGGGTTGCGGTTAACCGAGGTGGCCAAAGAAGTTCCAACGACTTGTCGCGGAACGACCGCGACTGCTGACGACTCGATCTTGATCTTTTCAGTACATCCTGCTTCTGTCGGAGGCCATTGTCGTGTTCACCGGAGACGGTGTCCTCTCCAGCCTTCTCACGCATCGCGGCAAGAAACACCTTCACTGGATCCTGCAGCTTCTTGGCCTGGTCTGCATCATAGTCGGCGTCTGGTTCATATACCAGCTGGAAACCATCCACTTCCGCACCACCCACTCGATCCTCGGTATCACGTCCCTCGTTGTCATGATATTCGTCACGGTGTTCGGCTATCCAGTCTTCATCGCCGGGAAACTCAGCAAGTGGGTGAGGCCTGTGACGATCAAATTCGGCCATAATTTCCTGGGTCTAGCCTCCTTCGTGATCGGTATGGCCTCGCAGTGCTACGGTTACAAGTATCGGGTGACAGACATTTCGAAGGAGGTGAACTTCAACAATGTCTGCATAGTGGTTACCTGCGTGATCACTTTCCTGTCGGTGAGGAGGGCTCTTCCTACCCTCTTCCAACAGTTCCTGCGTCTGTTCAAGTGAAGAATTCCTCGACGTTCAAAGTGCCGTCAGAGGCAGCGCCGATAACGTTTGCTCGTAATTACGAGCTGCATGGCTTCGAGGGAACATCGGGGTAATCTTTGCGCTTTTGGAAAAGGGGAGGAGGACTGCGCGATCCGGATGCGGAGAGGATTTCGAAATGCTGGTGAAAATAAAGCGGAACGCGGACCTCTATTTTCCCTATTCCCTTTCAACGGACGAACGTGGTCGAGAAGCAAACGTTGTTACAGCATAATTCGATTCTTAAGCGATACGCAAAACACCGTGCACGCGCGTCAATGCGCACGGGGAATCCTATCAGCGTCCGCTGGAAAATACGTATTGCATTACCGAATGACGCGATCCCGGCGCGTAATCAAAGTTCAATTATATAAAGTCATTACGCCACGATATTTCCATCGTATGTGTCACCGCGTCGCCGTTCGTTCGCCGCTTTGAACGGAGATACCACAGAGGACGAGGCTGAAAAACGTTTCCGCGAGCAAAACGATCGTCGTACCGATCGCTATCGGTTCCGATTATCGCTCGTTCCTCGTATCGGGCCGAAATAATTTCTCTCTTTTTTCCACTTTATTAGGCCGGAACCGATCGCGCGTCGAATCACGCGCAACCGATCGTTATCTGTCCCAGCGACGATAAAGTAAGGTCGAACGAGGGAGCTCGATGGACAGGTGCGGGAGAAGATCCGAACATCGTTCGTGCATCGCGTTTAATCGGCGATTTCTAGTGTCGCAATTAACTCGTCGGTTGACACGCGATAGAACGGAGATGAAACCGCCGGTTAGAGAGGAGTTTCGAAAAGCGTTCGCTCGTTCGAACGATCCACGCGCGCGTATTTATTTCGCTCGTCGCGTGCACGATCACGAGAGCCCGCGTCTAACGAAATTCTCCTCCGTAACGAATATTTATTCGCACGTGGCGCTTGATTGCCGCATTGGAAGGCGTAGACGCGGCTTCCTCGAGCAACACGCTTCGCGTACACACGGGCAAACACGCGGGTGCATATTCGGCTGCCGACAAATACGCGAACGACGTTTGCCCGAGCCAAACGTGGACGCATTAATTAGGAGATTCGTCGTTCCTCCTCGTTATCCTCTGCCACCGATTTATTCTTTCCATTTATCCTTTCTTCTCTCTCCCGTCGTTTTCATTTTTCGCCGGGATAAACCACGGGGAACGGTGAAGAGAGAGATCCATTTCGATCGACGCGATCCGAGAGACGTTAATTTAATGCGAAACGTTTGTCCTCGAGCAATCCACGCGACCTAATCTCCGCACGATGGTATCACCTGTGAAACGTCAACGGATTTTTATTAATCACCCGTCGGATCTACTCGAGGATCGCTCGTTCCACTGGCAGCGTTTATTATTTAAATCGAAACCCGTTACGTCCGCGATATCGTTCGTTAGAAAACATTTGCATTCCGACGTGGCTCGACGTTGCCGGGAAATATTTCGACGCTCTGTACCGAGTAATTCCCCGCTTTGCGTTTCATGCTCTCTGTAAAACAACTACGCATTGGAAAGAAGAAGAGAAAAACGAAAACAAAAAAAAACGATAAAGACCCTATCGTTCTTCCGGCATGGCGGCCTGCTACGCGTCACCGCGCGTGTTCCTGCGTTAATTGATCACTGCGTTGCATTTGGATCATCGTCGGTATCGCACGGTCATTATCGCACTCGCGAATTTACTCCGAAATTACGGTTTATTTTAAATGGAAAACACGAAAGGATGAAAAAACAGAAAAAAAATGTATAAAATCGGAAAATATGGAGGAACAAAAGGTGAAAGGAATAAAAATTGGAAAATGGGAAAACAAAGAAATGGAATAAACACGAAAATTATACGTATCCGATGAAATCGTTAATAGCAACAGTTCGTTATCGTTATTGTTTACCCCCGTCGATTGATTCGTATTATCGCGTTATACCGTGAATTTGTTCGAGCGTCGCGTCTTCGTTGATTCGTCGCTCGCCGAATGAAAAGCGCGGATTTTTTGTTTCGTTGCCGCCATTCTTGTTTCGCCGTTTCGAAACGGCGACGAGAAAAATGCAGGAACACCGTCTGCAGAATTACAGGCTCGCTCGTTCGGGGGCATAACGAGCGGGCACGACGCACCTGTGGCTGCACGGTCGCGTATGCTAAAATATGTAAAAATGTAATTGGAATTACATATCGGACGCTTTGTAGCGACGAAAGTGGAATAAAGCTTTTGAAAGTCTGGGCGAAAATGGCGCCACGGTTCGACTAACCCCTTGGCCCGGTAAGTTATTATAAATATTAACGTTATTCCAGCCGCTATTCCGTACGTATACGCATGTAGTTTAAACTCCGTTAACGGGAGTTCACCTATTGCATGAATAATTCACGTCTCAGCGTCAACTTATAACGCATTAAATATTCACGGGGCGTGCGTTAAATTCGTGAGGACGTTTGAATTTTTCATATTAAGACCAGCTGGTCGCTCGTTTTTCGCGTCTTTCTTCCCGAGTTCTCGTCCCTGTTCCCGAGCTGAGTCGAGTCGAGTCGAGCCGAGCCGAGCCGCGAATTACGCGCGCGCGGAAGTCGAAAAAATTTCGTGGAAAATCGAGAGGGGCGATGATAAAAGTGGGCGAGCAAGGGGGAAAGGGAGAGCGAAAGATGTATACGGGGATGCGGGCGAGAAAAAAAAATATCGACGAGCGAAACGACGGGCGAAAGTTGCACGAGAGGCACTGTGCGAAAAGTTGGGCGAAAAGCTATTTTAAACGCGTGGCCAACGAAACGCCGGGCTCGGGCGAATTAATCGCGAATTAACGACGGAAAAGTGGAAAGTTACGGTGTCTGGCGGCGATCTCGCGGAAATCATTTCCGTTGGAAAATGGGGTTGAAACAAAAAATGGCCGCGAGGAAAAAATGAAGGCAATTCGACGCGCTTTTCACGCGCAAATTCGAATGGCCGTCGGTGGCCCGCGCGGTTACCATTACCACAGACATTTCTCCATTATTGCCGCACGCACGGATTCACCCTCTCGCCTTGATCCACGGTTCCTCTACTCTCATCCCAATTTCATCGGCTGGGGGAGGGGAAAAAAAAAAAAAAAAGAATGGGAGGAAAAAATATTCACCTGAGCCTTTGTCCCGGGCTCCGGTCTAGCCCCCTTTTTCCTTTTTGACCACTCGATGGCTCCATCGAACGGACGATTTATGCTGATGCATTTACGGCCATGCAGGAATGGCGGCAGGGCGCATTGTTTAGTTGCACGCAGGCTGCGCATCGTCGATCCGACGTTCGCACAGGCCGGCATTCGAGCCGGAAAATTGTTACGTAGGCGTCGATAGCGTTCCATAGGCTCTTTACGAGCAGCCGGCGTGGAATTCACGGTGATCTTTAATCGCGCGGCGATGCTTTAAACTGCCACTCGCCTGATCCTTCTTAGCGCGCTGTATCGACCAAGAGGACGAGATTACGTTGCAGAGACAGCTCCAAGACCCGGCGAGATTAACGGTGTACGGTTGCTTTGCTTTCGCGATTACCGTCCGTGCCAAACTTAATCGCGTTTCTTTTTTCCCCCCCCCCCCCCCCTCCCCCCGTGAACATCCGCCCTTTGTGACTCTCGTAATAACGAATCACACGGCTCGATCGCGACAAACGTGACCTGGTCTCGTAATAAAATTCCGCTTTAATTTTCATGCAGCGTTTTCATGGCTTCCGTTGTCGTGGCACCGCGCAAAGGGAACGTCCAACTTCGCCACGCGTGACTGTAAAAAAACCGTGAAGCAAGGGGTTGAACGGTCTACTTTATTCGAAAGCTCGACAACTTTGCGAGAGTACAGGCGACCGAGGCTAGAGAGGAGAAGAAAAAGGAAGAAGAGAGAGAAATAAGGGACGGTTCCGTGCATTTTTTAAGACGGATAACGTATTACCAGCCGGAAGTTTGACCGCGTCGTAGATCACCCCGAGGATCGGCTACTCGGCCGACACGCGTACACGAACAGCGATTCGCGGTCAACTAAAATCGACCGGGAACTTTTCTAATCCGTATCCAACGACAAAGTGGCGGTCGAAACAAAGTTACCCCGCACGTACGACACAATCCTAGGAGTTCTCCACCGCGAAATTCCACCCCCGGTTACGCTCCATCGAACGTAACTGAGCGCCGTGTTTCCTTTTCCTTCCGGCTCGTGCACCGAGCACGGTAATAACGATTCGAAAATTTCTACGGGATACCAGACCTCTCTTCCTCCCCCTCTTCCTCCCCCTGGGTCCCTCTTTGCCGATACTCGGTCACGAGATCGAACGCGGAACGGAACATTGTTAATCCTAGAAAGGGGCAAAATGGGAATTAACGGAGGCAAATTTCTCATCGGTTTTGGCTAGACGTTCCCTCCAATAAGTGTGGTTTCGGGTATAGATATAGCCCGGGGACTGTATTTTAGGATATTCGTTTCACCGGTGCCGCCGGGGAATCGTGTAATCCTCGATGAAATATTTAAATTCCCGAAGAGC